GTAAGCTATGCTGCCTGTCCCCAGAAGTCTTAATGGAACATTGGCTGTTCACTATGAACAAGCTAGTATATTTCTTTAAATCCCCATAAATCAGGTCTGGGTGGAGTCAAGGAGAAAGAAGGGCTACACAGAAAATATGGGATTGCAACAGGCTAACAGCAGCATCTTCTGGATTCTCTCTTCCCCAAAACTGAACATTTAAAGGGTGGTACTTCCAGACTCATTAATTAGGGAACAACCTGATAGAATGAGGATGCTAGCAAACCAAAGAGGATTTGAACATGAATAAGGACTTGGAAAGATTGAGTAACTGGGGCATGTTTAGGCTGAAGCGTGCCTTCGCAAAGGGAAGCTGGCAAACTTCTCTCCAAACTGGGTTGAACTGGCAACAGACTCTGATGAGAATTTTCTTAGTTTCATTCAGAGTGATGCAATCTGGGTCAAGATTCGACATGTATTCTGATGGGATCTAAATTAGCTGCTACTTTCCAGGAAAGAGACCTAACCCTAAATTTCAACCTAAAAAAAAAAATTTTCAACCTAGTTCATATGTTGTACCTTCTACCAGCTCCAGGCTTTGCATCGTTATTCCAAACTGCTGCTCCTCCTCCTCAGTTTTCTCATCAGTCCCACTACTTGCTTGCTTGAAAGGCAGAGGGTCCAGAAGCAAGCAGGTGAACAGTGGAGAAAGGGAGCAGCAGGGCCAGGGGGCTTTGGCCCAGATGCGTGCGACTGGCAAGTTGCAACCACGATGCCCAGTGTGGGAACAGCTGAACAGACCACTGGTGCGCAACCTTCCGCCTTCTCTCTTCCCCAATAAGCCCAAGAAATAACCCATGGTGTGCGATTGGGTTAATTCTCTGGCTTGCAGGGAGGAGACAAGCTGGGTTCGGGTTTGCACAACATACTAGAAATGTTTCTGCTTGTAACAGAAGCAACCAGCCTGTGTTATGGGAACACTGCTCATAAAGGATAAGCCAGATTCTGAAGAAATCCAGCCTTATTGTGCCAAGAGTCTTGCTTGGCCAGACCAAACAAGCAGCTGTGCCAGGGTTTTCTTTCCGACATTGGTTAATGGGATGTGGCTGGACAGCTTTCACACAAGGGTACTTCCTAAAGCATCACCCTGCCACATTCATGGAATGCTTGGGAGCTGCAGGGCACAATGCCCACGCATAACCTTCCTAAGTTTTCCCACCACATCCTTAGTCTTTTTTCTTACCATGCATAATGCATTTCGGGAAAAAGATGGGATGGCTACATAGCACTAACAAAATGAAATAACAACACAATTCTGGCTGAGGTAACAATGCTGGGGAAACTGGAAACTGGTAGGGTGTGTGGATTACAAATCCCATCAGCCTCAGCCAGCATAGCCAATGGTTAGGAACAACAGGCCTGTAGCTGAACAGTGTCTGGAGGAGCAGATGTCCCCACCTTTGATTGAGGGTTGCACACCTGTCTCTTCCTGGCTGATTTCTGCAACCCTTATTTCCTAACCTACAATTAATTCCTCCAGCTGAAACGCAAACTCATTTATCAATGTCCTTTGTTATTAGTATTAGATTGCATTATTGTCCCACCTTAGTTCTTCTTGTGAGAATCCTAGGCTGGCTTACATAACTCCTTTTTAACTCCACGACAACAACCCTGTGAGGTAGGTTAGGCTGAGAGTGACTGACTGGCCCAGCATCACCCAGTGGGCTTCATGGGCACGTGGGGACTAGAACCCGGATCTCCCCAGTCCCCAGTCCGACCTCTCGCCAGTCTGCCACACTGGCTGCACCCAAAAAGGCAGTGGAGAGGCGTACTGTGTCACAAAGCGAGGGAGCATCTTTGACGCCTTGGGAAGCAGATTTTGAAGCTGTTCTGCGGCTCCCCGTGAGTAAGTGAAGGGAGGGGAAATCCCCCACGCTCACACGGAGCCTTAGAGAGCTTTCCAAAACGAGGCCTTCGCACACTGCAAAGTCTTAAAGGGGAGGGGAACCACAAACACAACCACAGGAGGACTGTCTGCGATCTGTTAGCACGGGCTGCTGGCTTGTCCCTGGTGCGGGGATATCACGTGGCGCGCTCCAGCATGGGGGGCACGTGCGGCCGGCCGGGCCACTGAAAGGGGGTGCTCCACATTTGCAGACGCGGAGGCAAAGCAGTGCTTTAAGACTCTTTTCTTGCAGCATCCCACGTTGCTCTTGGTAGACAACCTTCCCCAACCTGGTGTGCTGCAAATATTTTGGATGACATTGGCCATCGTGCCGATGTTTGGCTTACTGGCTGGGATTCACAGGAGTGGCAGTCCAAAAACCACCCGTGAGGGTGGGCGCAAAGTTTGTGGAAGGCTGTCAGATCGTATTTACTACATGGAACACCTACACAGCAAACGTATTCCATAGCTGAGTGTGTTGCGTTTAGCAATGTTACATTCATTAGCAACTATGATTATTCGTTAGATATGCAAAGTATACATATTCAAGAGCAGTTTCACTGGGAGGCAGTTTTACCAGATAAACAACCAAGGTTATTTGAATGTTAAAATAGATGATTTATGAAGAAAAGAGAAAGGATTGATAGATTAGGTGCCAGTGAAAGATACCTCAATAAAGGGATATATAGAATAATGGATATAGGAATAATGTGGACAACTCTCATCTCCCTGATCTAAACAGGTGGCATGGGTGGGAAAATGCAGAAAAGATTAGGAAAATGGGGTAAAGCAAAAGTATATGCAATGATTAATGTGGTGAAAGCAGCAGAGCCTTTTATGGCTAAGTGGTGGTATAGAAATTTAACATTAATTTTGTTTTCTTTTCGATACATAATGATATAACGCTGGGGCTATTTACTTCTTCCCAGAACATGGGAAGCATATGGGCTCGTCCAGATTCGACCTAAAGTTGGGGTTGGCAACCTATAGCCTTCAGCCCAATTGCAACAGCCCTCTGCAGCCGTGATCTGTCCCGCCTGCCCGCCCCCCCCCCCCCCGAGGTGTCAGGGAGGGGAGAAAAAGCACGTGTGTTAGCAGAAAGAGAGCGCAAAAGGTTCGGCTCCAGCCAAAGCGTTTAGTTCCAGCATGCAGCCTCTGACAGATGAACAAGGGCAAGAACGGTGTAGGTATTAGAGGGCTGGTCTGGGACTAAGTGGCCACTTGGCTATGAAATTCACCATGTGACTTGGGTGGTACTGGCACACCTCATAGGGTGGTTGTGAGGCTTAAATAGAGATTAGAAGAAGAGTATGTAAGCTTACTTGGGCTCCCTGGAGGAAAACAATGAGGGATGGAAATGTAATTATAAAAAACCACACAGGAATAAGGTCTTTGACAAACGGACAATAAAAAAGCCCACCTGGTCTGTCAAGGAACATTTCCTGTCCCTCAGTTGTCGCTAAAACATTAATGAATTTATGAGTTTCTTCACACTGCCTCCTTTATCTTAATTCCTACTACTTCCTTGCACGATAGCTGAGTATGCATGCCTTACACATCAGATTAATCCATCTGAAAATGCTGATTGGATTGCATTCAGTCACATGGACTCGTGCAGCCTGTACCAGCAATCATTAACATGAGTTAGTGCTAATACTTCATCCACACACACCACTTAAATGTCGGGTCCCACCTTAGTATTTAAGGCAACAGCTCTGTCCAACATTCTTCTGTTCTGCCATACCACAGGGTAGAGTGACCAAGCAGCAAAACTCAGGATGGGATGGCCCAGCTAGAGCAAGCGTGACTGTTCATGGCAAGAAGTCTGCAACTCAAAGGCTTGTCTTTACAACTAGTGGGACCTGCAGCCAAATATTGCAATGTGGAGTGTTCCTGTTTGGGATTCCAGTCGGCCATGCCTCCTTCAAGACACTCCATGCCAGCTTCCCCATTTTCTGGCCCCAACTCGGTTAGATAGCATTTCATGTCCTCCCTCTGATCATATTCAACCTTCAAAGAGAGTTTCTGAGCTCCCCCCTTTTTTCTGCAAATCCTGGTTCTTGTAAATGGGCTGACACCTCCCTCTTGGTCATGGATGCCATTGCTGGAGCTATAGTAAGGATCCACACTCTGAGAATTAGCTTCCTATTACAATATACAATTCTGTTGAAAAGCAGGCTATCATTCTGGTAGATTACAGTAAAAAATAAATATTTGCACATGAACCCTTTATTTCCTCTCCCCCCCCACCACCACCACCAAATCGTGGAGGAAATAAATCGCAAAGTTAAGAGCAGCACATGGGGAAATGGTCAGAGGAGAATAAGCAGGGTATTGGGAGAAAACAGAGGCGTGGTGATGCAAAGTTCTCTCTCAGAGTGCATCCTTCACGTGCCAATTTCATCTCCAGTCAAGAAAGAAACTCGTCCATGCAGCCGAGTTGGGAAAGCCTTCCGTTTTTACCAGAGTGCTTGGTGTGCTTCTGCTGTCCAGGCAAGTCGAGGCTGAACCTGGAACTGCAGAGATGCTGAGACGTTTCGCAGGGGGCAGCTTCCCAGCGGCGAGGAGAGCGTCGCCTGGGGAGCCAGCCATGCGCAAGCCTCAGCGCCGTTTTGGGGCCGTTTCCCCAGCCAGGTGGGCCGGGTGGACCGCGGGTCCTGTCCAGTGCATGGGGAGGGACTCTGGGTCAGGAGAGCGAAATCTGAAGCTCCCAAGCCCCATCCCTGGCATCTCTAGGCGGGGTGGAGGGAAGTGCCCTTCCTGGAGCCGACAGCACCCAGGCGCACGCCGAAACGAAGGGCTGCCGCCCCACGGCTGCGTCTCGCCCAGCCCAGCCCAGCCCAGCCCCGCCTCGCCTCGCCTCTCCTCCTCGGGCCCAATGCCTCTTCCCTTTGCGCCCTGACTTCCCGCTTTGCAGGCGGGGGGCAGGGGCTAAGCTGTCTTGTCCCCCCGCAAGCCGCCCCGCGGCCCCCGTTTGGCGCAGGAGCGCCGCGGAAGGGCGGCCGGGCTCCGCGGCGGACCCCGCTCTCGCCCCGCGCGGCGCCGCAGGACCCGCTCGGGGGCTCCGCTCTCTCACCTGCACGGACCGCGGCTTGGCTCTCTGGAGCAGGAGCAGCAAGAGGAGGAGGAGGAGGAGGAGGAGGTGCCGGGGCAGAGGCAGAGGCAGAGGCAGGAGTGAGGGCGGCGGGATCTGCCCCCTCACCCTTCTCTCCCCATGCTAGATGCTCGCTGCCCCGAGAAGAAGCCAGGAGAGCTCCAGGCAGCTGTTTTGTCTGAAGGCTTGAAAGTGAAAGTGCTTGCCGGGGGAGAGGAGGGGCTAAGGCAGCGGGTGCTCGCGCGTGGGGCTCCCGGAGTGCTGGGAAGGGACGCCCCTCCACTCCCCCCCCACAGTTTCTGCGCCCCCCTCCACTGTCGCATCCCCTCCCCTCCCCACAAGTACCTGTCCCGAAAGGGAGGGGTTTGCTATGTCGAGGGTGACGAAGCAGGAAAGGTGCGAATCCCGCTGAGCACGTGCAGAGAAAGCGAGTCTCTCACCCCCACCTCTCGGCCAGGTGCTGGAGCTGAGGACAGGCCGGGAAGCCAGGTTGCTTGAGGGCTAGCGCCTTAAAAGGAAAAAAAAGCGTGGGAGACTGGGAGTCGAGGGACAGACATCATGCTCTACATTTCCCCTGCTCTCATCCGCTTTCCAGTCCGCGAGTCTTAGTTCCTTGTTGTCCTCATCTCTGCCCAGGTGCAGGAAACCTGGAAATCCTTACTTCCTGCCCTCACCACTTCCTTCCACCACCAAGGAGCCTGGTGGGTTCCTTAAACTCTTCTTTTCCCTTACTGAATCTATTATGCTTTTCAGCTCTGGTGTTTCCCCCCTCTTTTCCATCCCCTGTGCTCCGACCTCATCGATCCAGCCCTTCTTGGAAAGGGAACCCAGAAGCCCCTGCTCCCCTTCCCCCCATCCTCAAGATCCTCCCTTTAGCCTTGCAGATTTCCAAACTCCTTCCCATCTGGCATGTGTAGCAATTTTCTCTCTGGCAGTGTCAGCCCCTCAGCCTCTTCCCCATTTTCCTCCACACACTGAAGAATCTAGCAAGGCACAAGGGACTCGGGACACAGGACACTGTTCCACAGCAGCCTAAAGACCTCTCCTCATTTCCCTTCCCCCTCCCAACCCCCAAACACATACTTTTGGCATTTGGCTCTAGTCCTTTCCCAAGAAATCAGCTCACTTCAAGACAGTCTAACTCAATGGCATCAGCAGGCAGTGCTGCAGAGTTGGCCCCCGTGCTTTCTGCTCTCACCACAGAGCCCCCCGTGGAGTCTGGGGTTAGGAAAGGCATCTAGAATGTCTGGGAGAAAAGTGGGGCCATACAGTCGGGACAGAGTAACATTGGCGCCAGTGTAACTCAGCTAGTGCTCAGCCCAGGCCTGGCCGACGCATGAGGGGTTCCAGTCTATCGAACGAACAAGCTGAAACACAATCCAGACGAAGAAGATTTGGGGTTACCTGGGGTTCCACTGGTCTGGGAACAGGTGGCCAACTTGCTGTGGATGAACTGCGACTCTCCAGCCTGGCAGTGTTCCTGAACCCAGCACGGGCTCTGCTCCTCCGGAGGGGCACGTGACCAGAAGCTCTTGTATCAGTTTTTGATGGGGCTTTAGCTGGGGTTTTCCTGGCCCTGAGTCACTCATGCTGTAGTCACAGCCAATTAGCGCAGAACATAGGAAAAGCGGTGCTGGGCCAGACCGAGGGTCCGTCTAGGCCAGCATTCGGTCCACCCAGCGCCCAAGCAGATGTCCGTAGGAAGCCCACAAGTCGGTGCGGAGAGCAACAATAGCCTCCTGCCCATGTCCTCCAATACGTGGTATAGGTAAGCATGCCCCTGCCGATACTCGAAGTGAAAGGTAGTGACCATTGGCTGTCTTCACTCCTATACATCTGTCCAGTCCTCTTGGAAAGCTGACTGTCCAGATTAGTAGCCATTGCTGCCGCTTGTGGCAGTGAATTCTGTAGATTAATGATGCACTGTGTGAAGTCCTTCATTTCATCTGTTCTAAATGTCCCACAATCAGCTTCATGGGATGACCCTGGAGTTCTACTATTTATGAGAGAAGGTGATAATTTTAGATCCTGAACTTTAATGCTTCCTCCACCTGCACCTTGCTACGTCTTTAATAGTTGTTGTTACTGTTACTAGCGAAGTCGTGTCTGACCCATCACGACCCCATGGACAACATTCCACCAGGCCTTCCTGTCCTCCACCATCCCCCAGAGTCCACTTAAGCTCATGCCGACTGCTTCCATCTAGCCGCCTCATTCGCTGATGTTCCCTTCTCCTTTTGCTGTCAGTTGTTCCCAGCATTAGGCTCTTCTCCAGTGAGTCCTTCCTTCTCATTCGGTGGCTAAAGTATTTGAGTTTCATCTTCAGGATCTGGCCTTCTAAAGAGCAGCCAGGGTTGATCTCCTCTAGGACTGACCGGTTTGATTGCCTTGCAGTCCAAGGGGCTCTCAGGAGTCTCCTCCAGCACCACAATTCAAAGGCCTCAATCCTTTTGCGCTCAGCCTTCCTTATGGTCCAGCTTTCACAGCCATACATTGCAATTGGGAAAACCATAGCCTTGACAATACGCACTTTTGTTGGCAGGGTGATGTCTCTGCTTTTTAGTATGCTGTCTAGATTTGCCATAGCTTTCCTCCCCAGGAGCAAGCGTCTTTTAATTTCTTGGCTGCAGTCCCCGTCTGCGATGATCTTGGAACCCAGGAAAATAAAATCTGTCACTTTCTCCATTGTTTCCCCGTCTATTTGCCAGGAAGTGAGAGGACCGGATGCCATGATCTTAGTTTTCTTAATGTTGAGTTTCAAGCCAACTTTTGCGCTCTCCTCCTTCACCTGCATCAAGAGGCTCTTTAGTTCCTCTTCACTTTCTGCCATGAGAGTGGTATCATCTGCATATCTGAGGTTGTTGATATTTCTCCCAGCAATCTTAATTCCAACCGGTGATTCATCTAGCCCCACCTTTCGCATGATGTGCTCTGCATATAAGTAAAATAGACAGGGCGACAGTATACAGCCTTGCCGAACTCCTTTCTCAATTTTGAACCAATCAGTGGTTCCGTGTCCAGTTCTCACTGTTGCTTCTTGACCCGCATACAGGTTTCTCAAGAGACAAATAAGATGGTCTGGGACTCCCACCTCTTTAAGAACTTGCCACAGTTTGTTGTAATCCACACAATCAAAGCATAGTCTTTAGCATAGTCAATGAAGCAGAAGCAGATGTTTTTCTGGAACTCCCTAGCTTTCTCCATGATCCAGCGTATGTTGGCAATTTGATCTCTAGTTCCTCTGCCTCTTCAAAATCCTGCCTGTACTTCTGATAGTTCTTGGTCCACATTCTGCTGGAGCCTAGCTTGTAGGATTTTGAGCATAACTTTGCTAGCATGTGAAATGAGTGCAATGGTGCGGTAGTTTGAACATTCTTTGGCATTGCCCTTCTTTGGGATAGGAATGTAAGCTGACCTTTTCCAATCCTGTGGCCACTGTTGAGTTTTGCAAATTTGCTGGCATATTGAGTGTAGCACTTTTACTGCGTCATCTTTTAGGATTTTGAATAGCTCAGTTGCAATACTGTAACCTCCACTAGCTTTGTTGTTGCTCAGACTTCCTAAGGCCCATTTGACTTCACCTTCCAGGATGTCTGGCTCGAGGTCAGTGACTACCCCATCATGGTTATCAGGGATGTTTAACTCTTTCTTGTATAGTTCTTCTGTGTAATCTTGTCACCTCTTCTTAATCTCTTCTGCCTCTGTTAGGTCCCTGCCATTTTGGTCCTTTATCATACCCATCTTTGCATGAAACATTGTCTTCATATCTCCAATTTTCTTGAAAAGATCTCTGGCCCTCCCTATTCTATTGTTTTCTTCTATTGCACTGTTCATTTAAGAAGGCATTCTTATCTCTTCTAGCTATTCTCTGGAATTCTGCATTCAATTGGGTGTATCTTTCTCTTTCTCCCTTGCCTTTTGCTTTTCTTCTCTCCTCAGCTATTTGTAAAGTGTCTTCAGACAGCCATTTTGCTTTCTTGCTTTTCTTTTCTTTTCTTTTCTTTTCTTTTCTTTTCTTTTCTTTTCTTGAGATGGTTTTAGTTGCTACCTCTTGTACAATGTTGTGAACCTCCGTCCATAGCTCTTCAGGCACTCTGTCTATCAGATCTAATTCCTTAAATCTATTTGTCACCTCTACTGTATATTCATCAGGGATATGATTTAGGTCATACCTGAGTGGCCTAGTGCTTTTCCCTACTTTCTTCAATTCAAGCCTAAATTTTGCAACCAGAAGCTCATGATCTGAGCCACAGTCAGCTCCTGGTCTAGTTTTTACTGACTGTATAGAGCTTCTCCATCTTTTGCTGCAGAGCACATAGTCAACCTGATTTCTGCGTTGACCGTCTGGTGATGTCCATGTGTAGAGTCGTCTCTTGGGTTGTTGGAAAAGAGTGTTTGCTATGACCATTGTATTCTCTTGACCAAATTCTACCAGCCTGTGCCCTGCTTCATTTTGTACTCCAAGGCCAAGCTTGCCTGTTATTCCAGTTATCTTTTGGCTTCCTACTTTAGCATTCCAATTCCCCATGATGATAAGGACATCATTTTTTGGTGTTAATGCTAGAAAGTGCTGTAGGCCTTCATAGAACCGGTCAACTTCAGCCTCTTCAGCACCAGTGGTTGGGGCATAGACTTGGACTACTGTGATGTTGAATAGTTTGCCTTGGATTTGAACAGAGATCATTCTGTTATTTTGGAGATTGTATCCCAGTACTGCTTTTCCTACTCTTTTATTGACTATGAAGGTTACTCCATTTCTTCTGAGGGATTCTTGCCTGCAGTAGTATACCTGATGGTCATCTGAATTAAATTCACCCATTCCTGTCCATTTTAGTTCACCGATTCCTAAGATGTTGATGTTCAGTCTTGTCATCTCTTGTTTGACCATGTCCAGCTTGCCTTGGTTCACGGATCTTACATTCCAGTTTTCCACGGAGTATAGATCTTTACAGCATCAGACTCTCCTTTCACCACCAGATACATCGGAGTGTCCTTTCGGCTTTGACCCAGTCGCTTCATTCTTTCAGGCGCTACTAGTACTAGCCCTCTGCTCTTCCCCAGTAGCATATTGAACACCTTCCGACCTGAGGGGCTCATCTTCCGGCGTCATATCATTTTGCCTTTTGGTACTGTCCATGGGGT